CAGCGTTGGGTGGCTGGCACAGCCCCCCAGAGCAAACCTCTGGATGAGTTCCATGGATTCAAATAGTTTTTTCCTCAGGTACTTTGTTTCCAATTCAGCAAAACCCTCCAACCTGTTTACAAACCACTGACCTTTGTGAAACTAAAACTCCTTGTTCTCCACTTCCCTGGTCCCAGTAGAACTCCACAGATCCCAGAATCTCCTTTTACATAGGGCATTCTGGCATGGCCACGGGGAGCCTGTGGTGCTGCTGCTGTGATTTCCCTTCCTCCATCCCCAGCAGATGAACACCAGCAGCTTCCAGAGTATTCTTCCCCCATCATCAAACTGCATTTGCAAGACCCTGAGGATCCTGACTCGTGGACGGGTGGGAAGGGCAGTCAGTGGCTGCTATGAGCTCTGTGATGACAGATGATGTCTGAGCCAGGCCTGAGTTGGCAGCTGGCTCCAGCAGCTCCCGGTGGGCACCCTGGGCATCCCTGGCATGTTGACCATGTGTGACACTGACCATCCACACAGGAATTGGATGTAGTGGAAGTTGTTTGCTAATTAATGGCTGTTTATGGATTCTGCTGCTCCCATGTATTGTGTGATGCACAATATGTAAATGACCCTTTGGAACACTGGGCACACTGGCAGATGCTGCACTTCACATCCCAAAAAGGGGGAGGCAAAACCCCCAGCATGCAGTGTGCTGGGCACAAGGAGCCATCACAGTATGTGGCATTTCAGCCCTGAGTTCCTTGGCTCCATTTCAGGCAGGAATTTCAAATTCATTAGCACTTCTCCTGACCTCTGTCTGCTGCTAGAACAGGGGGTGGACATTGCCATGGCCTCTGCTGACTGGGTGCCAGGCTGTGCCTGCACGGCTGTGCCCCACAGGGGCTGGGGTTACTCTGGCCATTCCCCAGAACCTGTCAGACCCTGCAGAGGTTTGAGGTGGGAGTCTGCCCTTAGCAAGTGCTGGCCAGAGGGTCTGTGTGTGCCCCAGGATGCACCAGGGGCTGTTGGGGCTGTCACCCCCTGACAGGAGCGGGTGGCTCCTCTGAAGCAGTGCAAATCCTCATGGGTCTCACAGAACCACGTGTGGTGCTGGAGCTGGAGTGTGCCCCAGCTGTCCCTGCACCCTGCCCGTGTGTAGGATTGGTGCCAGGGGAGCCCAGGGTTCCCTCTCTGTGCAGGGATGGTGCCAGGGGAGCCCAGGGTTCCCTCTCTGTGCAGGGATGGTGCCAGGGGAGCCCAGGGCTGCCCCTCTGTGCAGGGATGCTCTGAGGGATGGTTGTTCTGCAGCTTCCAGGGCTGGGCTGAGGGGAGCTGGTGCTGGCGTGGAATGAAGCTCCGTGTTCCAGGCATGGGCTGGAGGTGGTGTGAAGGCCAGAAGACCTGTGGGAAGGACCCTGGGAGTGTCATCCATTGTGTGGGCATGTCCCACTCGAGAGTGGCCAGGGGAAGGGGGATTACAGTGCTGGAGGGGTCCCTGCCTCCATAAGTCCCGGCCCTGCCCGACCACTGTCACACCTGCTGGATACCTCAGGAATGGGGGTAGGAAAAGACTTCCTGTGCTCAGAGACAGGAGCAGCAGTCTGGGGACTCCAGTCGGCCCCCTCCAGCCGATGGGGGAGCAGTGGAGGGCTCCCAGTCCCTGGCAGTGTGCTGGGGCTCTC